AACGCAGGACAGCTGTTGCTCCCCCGGCACATCATCTGGCCACACCAGTGCCTCCCACGTAGTAGGCGTTTATTAACTCTAGAGGCCGATGCGCCAAATTTGTGCAAGAGCAGGCCTTCCCTCCCCCCCCCCCACCCCCCCACTGCCGGCACCGGCTTCCCTCTGGCACCCAGGACTCGGGCTTACCTCGCAGCCCCCCGCCGCCCCCCTTCGTCCGGAAGGATGTCAGGTCTAATTAGCATATTATGCTTTCATTATTATAGATTACTCTGTAGTGGCAATTTCTTCTGCAAATGGTGTCATTACCTACAGTGGCTCCAGCTGTGCTTAAGAGCTGGGCAGTGGCTGCCACCGGCCAAGGGGTGTTCTGACCCCGCAGGCAAGGGGCAAGGCCACCGGGCTCCAGGGCTTTGGCAAAGCTCTCACCTCACCCCCAAATACCAGCAATCAGAGTAGCAGTACAGGTAACTAACGATACAGGTAACAGAACAGCCACAGCTCCCAGGACCAGGGCTGCTGAGAGCCTCCACTCGAGGCACCAGCCCCTCCCTCTCCGTCCCCTCCTCAGAGAACACCTGTTAGGAAGGAGCATTATCCCCCTCCTTCCAGGGAGGGAGTGGAAGCTCGGCAGTGGCAGGATCGAACCACACTCCAAGCCCACCAGAGTTCCTCCAGGTCGGAAGCCCTGGCCCTCCACGGGCAGCTCTGCCTGGGGTGGAGCTGTTGTTTCTTGAGGGCCAGAAGAGGGGTGTCAAGACCCCAACTGCCCATCTCCTTTTCTATTCTCCCAAACCCACCACAGCTGCCCAGGCTGAACCAGCCCAGGGAGCCGAGGGAGACACAGCCTGTGTCCCACCTGAGCGGCAGATGCTGGGTGCAGCTTCCTCAGGGTGGCCCAGGGCCCAGAACTGTTTGTCAGCCCCAGGAAGGAGGTGCTGCGCGGCCCAGGGCAGGCCCACCCAGGCCCTCTCCCGGAGCCTCTGGGACATTTCACCCTCTGCTTCCCACCCAGAGGCAGGACCTGGCTTCAGCCTCCCACCCCCACAGCCCAGTGCACCAGGACTCCCTGCGGGCCCCAGGCCTGTGCACCTCCCAGCTCTGGCGCTGCACCTTCTCAGCCTCCAGGGGCTGCGCCTGGAGAGGGCGGAGATCCTGCTCGCCTACCTCTGCGCACCCAGGCCTCGCACTGCCTGGCACCCAGTAGGTTCTTCCATAAGCTCCGGATGATCAGATAGATGTGTATCAGCCCAAAACCACAGCAGTGCCCTGGCCGGTTTGGCTCAGTGGATAGAACGTCAGTCTGCTGAGTGAAGCGTCCTGGGTTCGATTGTGATCAAGGGCATGTACCTCGGTTGCAGGCTCGATCCCTGGCCCTGGTCAGAAGGCAACCAATTAATGTGTCTCTCTTACATCTATGTTTCTTTCTCTCGCTCTGTCTCTCCCCCTCCCTTCCACTTTCTCTAAAAAATCAATGTAAAAATATCCTCAGGTGATGATTAATTAAACAAACAAACAAACAAACAAAAAACACAGCAGCAAGGCCAGAACCAGCCTCCAGCCCCAAACAAGAGCTGCAGAAGCCCTGGTGGCCCTCCTGCCCTCTGGGGGCCCTACGGGGGCAGATGCATAGGCACCGGCAAGTTTGGCCCCTCCGAGCAGAGGCCAGAGGGAAGAGGCTGCTCCCCACCCCGGGCAGCTCTCTGAGGCCCCAGGAGCAGAGCTGCTGGCCAGGCCAGCACGGACTGCTGGGGCATGGCTTTGGTGCATTCAACCACGGCCGGGCTCAGGATCTGGTGAGTGGGAGGGGGAAGGAGAAGATGTCCTTTATTTGTTTTTGTTTTGTTTTGTTTTTTTGTTTTTTTTTCTTTAGTTTTTTGAAGGATGTCCTTTAAAACTTAAATTTTATTTGCACTAAAGTTTATGATCCAGAATTAATCCCTTGAAGGGGGCAGGAGCTGGGGGATGTGACTATGGGTCTCGATCCAGAGGCACTGAGAATCAACGACGAGAGAAGGTGGTCGGCTGTGAAGTGGGGTTTGGGGCTGCAGTGCTCTGTGGGCAACCTGGTGGGTGTCATGTGCCTCTCCTGCGGGGTCATGTGTCTCAGTCCATACATGCAATCCAGCTCACCTCCTGCAGGAAGCATGGTAATCTTGGGAGCTCGTGGAAGACCCAGCTGGACAAGTGGCTGGGAGAGCCCCTGGGACTGTCCCTTTCCCAGTGGACCAGCAGAAGCCCATTTAGTGGGGACCCCCAGGAGAGATGGAAGAGGTGGAGAAGGATGAGAATTACCTGGGACAGGCAACTGCACCTCCTCCCAGGGTCCCCCAGGCCACACTGCTGCCCAAACCAGGTATCAGTCACAAGGTCGGCAACCTCCATCCCCACCCAGCCTGGAAAAGCCTCTGTGTCCAGGGATGGCCAGGCCCCTCCCCTCTCAGGGTTCTGGTTTCCTCCCTGCTGCACAGGAAGTTGAAATGCTGGAGGGGGTCCTGAGGGTGATGCAGATGTGGAGAGCCTGGCAGAAGGGGTGTGGCGTCTTCCGGCAGCATCCTCCTGAAGCCCCCACAGACCTGAGAGCCTCCCAACCACCGGGGAAGAAAACTGTGCAGCCAGCCAGGGCCCAGCGTCCAGAGCCAAACGTCCAGAGCTGCTGACTGCCCCTCCCTGAGAGGAAGGGTGGGGCCTGGGTCTGTGTGAGGAGGTCGAGGGCAGTCTTCCATATCAGAAAGGAAGTCCTTCTGATTTACAAGCCCCAGGCACCTTGGGGAAATATTCTGGGGTCGCCCAAAACAGGGGACCACTGCCTCCAGCTACTGGAGAAATCCCCAAACAGCGAGTCTTCACCCCAGCCACTCAAATAAACGCCCTTGCTGCCAGTGCCCTGCCCTGGATGCCACCTGGGCCTCACAAGCAGCCTGGAGGCCGGCTGGAGCTGGGAACTGGGATGTGGGTTGCAGAGCCGCCAGAGCTGTGAAGGGGATACAGGAGGGTTTCACCAGCCGTGAAGCTTTGAAGGGCCATGTCCGGAGGGCTCAGGGCGCACAGCATCCCCTGGGTACCACCAGCTCCCGCAGCTGGGGGCAGAGATGCCGCTGGGCCCACTCCTGTGCCGGGTGAGAGAGTCCTGAGCGGAGAAGGCCGAGGACAGGGACACTGCGGAGGCTGGGCCTGCGGGCTCGGTCCAGGGCTGTGCACCGCAACACAAACGATCGGGGAGTGCAGGGGCCACGGTCCAGGGCCCCCGCCGCCTCCACGGGGCGGACAGGGCGAGA